GAAAAAGAGAAGAGCGGATGGGAAAAGAGATGAAGAAAAGCAAAGGACTAAGTGGGCATGTGTACCACAAACAGATACATCTCACACACGCACACCGATATGAGGTACAATGATATTTAAAAAACATTAAACATGAACATAAATGTACAAAAAGACTTTAAATGTAAACAAATGACGTGACATATTTCAACAGTGGACACTGGAGGAAACAGGGAGAGTGCAGACACACATGTGAAATCGTTCATGGGAGACACCTTGTAACAATCACAAAGAAGACTTTTTAAAGCCACATTTAAAAAAAGACACAAATTTATACTGATAATAAAGGCGAAGCAAAACTACAGACTTCTTTAAACATCAAAGGAATGACTGCATCTACAGTAACAAAGAGAACAATTAGGAAACTTTTAATTGGAGAGAGAGAGAGAGAGAGAGAAATGGGACATTGGGAGAAGAGATTATAAAACTATTGCTCCCTTACCTACTCCATCCAGCCCTTTCAAAAAAAACTCTTTATAAGGAAATTAAACAACTGAACAAATTATTATGGGTGAATGAATGAACTAATGGATGAATGAACGATTAAGTGAATATACCTACACTGCCCGTCCAAAAAAAAGGTCACCATTTGAATTTATATCAGCAAATACTTAAAAGCCAACGACTAGATCATTATTACACTCCTGCAACGTTATGCAGCAATAAAGTACTCTGAGTACCTGAATCTACTGAATGGCCAGGTTACACCTCCATCCATCATAAATGGATTTTTTCTTCCCTGTTGGCATGGACATATTCCAGGACAAGAATGCCAAGATTCAATGGGTTCAAATTGTCAAAGAGTGGTTCAGGGAACATGAGGAATCATTTTCACGTGTGACTTGGTCACCACAGAGTTGTGACCTTAACCTCATTGAAGGTCTTTGGGATGTGCTGAAGGAGGCTTTATGGAGGTTCAACTCACTTGTCAATACAGGATCTTGGTGAGAAATGAATGCAAAGCTGGATGAAAATAAAGGATGAGATGTTGCATAAGCTTGTGGAAACAATGCCATGACAAATATGCGCCATAATCAAAGCTAAAGGCGGCACAACAAAAAATTCAAATGGCGACTTTTTTTTTGGACGGGCAGTGAATATTTGCATCTCAGTTGAAATGCCGATTGTTACGCAGTTTAAGTAGAATAAGCATCTTGTCATTCATATAATGAGAATTGTTGTTATTACTGTCATTATTATTATCACCTTCATAAATGTCACTACCATTACTGTCCACTAGAGTTTCATTGCTATTCCTCAGAGAAATTAAGTTTTGTATCCTTTTTGAGTTGTAGCCCATCCCATAAACCTATAAACTTCCTCACCCACTGCATGAGGAAACACCTTGTGATCCCATCTGGCAATCTCCCAGGCTGACACACGGTCCAGCCCCCCCCCTCCAGAAATAACCATCTATCTACCATAGCCAGGTGTTACGTTGGCGTCCTCTTGGCCTGGTCCAGCCACTCGGGTGTTCAGCAATGAGGATCCTGCAAGCCAGATCACCCTCATGGAAATCACCACATGGCCGTAGTGCTGTAACTGACGCTCCCTCCCAATGCAAGTAATGTGTCTCATTCAGAACTCCCTGAGCAACTTCTTGTTCAACACAAAGTCAAATCAGTGGTACCAAAGGAGTGCAGTGTTTGTCTCAGGTCATAGAATAGCATCCATGTCTGGCAACCATTCAGCAAAACAGGAACACCAGGACTTTAAAGACTTGGACCTTTGTCCTCTTACAAAGATATTGGGAACGACACACTCCTTTCCAGCAACCTCATGACCCCCTATGTTCTCCGTCAACTGAGTTCATAGGAAGAGTCTGAAACATCACAGCCGAGGTGAGCGAGCCTCTCAATGCAGTCGACAATCTCTCTGCAGACAGACACACTGCTGATGGCTGTGCCCAAGAGGTCACAGGCCAGGATCTTGGTTTTTATCCAGGCCACTCGCTAGCCCAGACACTCAGACTCCTCGCTCAGCCTCTCGAGCCCTGATCAGAGCCTCCATTGACACAGTGAAGATCATAGCATCATTGACAAAGTCAAGATCAGTATCCGGATCTTTCCTCACTAACAGATGCCCCACAGCCACTGGACCCCAAGACCCTGCCCAACACCCAGTGCATGAAAGCATTCTACAAGGCCATGATGTCCAGCAACTTCGGGGGGATCAAACAAAGTCTCAGGATGTCCCACAGGGCGGCTTGATCAACTGAGTTAAATGCTTTACAAAAACTGACAAAGGCTGCAAAGAAATTCTACAGATATTTGTGATTGCACTCAATGAAAACCCTCACATCCAGGATGCGGTCGATGGTAGACTTCTTAGGCATAAAAGCAGACTGCTTCAGTTGCTGGCAGTTCAGCAAATGATCACAGATCCTGTTGAGAATGACTCTAGCAAGGACCTTAACCAACACTAGGAGCAGTGAAATCTCCCTGCAGTTGCCACA